GTGCAAAGCCCAGCACGCAGTGGCAGCCACCTTGCCCCACACACAGATTGTGGGTGCATGTGCCCCCCAGGCCTCTGCTGGGGTGCATGCAGCAGCAAGCCCCTCCGTGCACCTCAGCCCAGCTGGGGCCGCACTCACCCTTTCCCCTGCCCCTGCCCCTGCCCCTGCCTCACTCCCTCCCTCACCACAGGAGGCTCGATTTGCCTCTCCCCCCCCAGACTGACCTGGTAGATAGTGGGGCGGGGGGAGGGGGGTGCAGTAGATCCTGGATTGCCCTTTATTTCAAAAAGTGATCCTCACCTTAAAAAGGTTGGAGACCACTGAGTTAAACAAGATTCATTGTCTTGTCCGGTATTTAGCTTAGACTTAGGAGTTCTTTCCCAGATCTGAGGAAGGGCATTGTGTGTCCAAAAGCTTGTCTAACACCTCTCCCAACTATGCAGTTGGTCCAATAAAAAAACATTACCCCCCAAAAAAAGTGTTTCTTGTATACTCCTTGGCCCATCACAGCTACAACACCATTTCCTCTTGGAGGGCACTTTTCCTCGGTGGGCACATCAGTATGTGTACTTTAATGCACAGAAGACTATTTTAATGTGCATTAAAGTGTCACATAAAAAAAACCATGCCATAACACTAATGTGTAGTAAAGCAGTCTACTGAGCATTACACATCACTAAAAAATATTGCAAATGTGATACTGTGCATTAGCGCAGCCTAATGTGTATGAATTTAGTGACATTGGAGGTACTAAATTTAATGTGCATTAGAAAAGGTGCATTAATGCATATGTGGACATGGCCAGTAGCTCTGAAAGTGGTCTACAGTGCAGGTCAATGTCATTATCCTCATTCTGCAGATGGGGGAAGGTGAAATGATTTGCCCATATTTATCCAACACATGAGAGGTACAGGCTGGAAAAGAATCCAGCTTTTGTGTATTACAGGCTTGTGCTTTACCCCACAGACTAGAAGATGATAGATCCATGCTACTATGTTAGAGCCCTGGTGGCCTTTGATGTTGTTGTTTGCATTTGTTGACATGCCAGTGAATCCTAATGCATGAATTCTCAGCCTGCCCTTCAGTAAATTTAGGATTCAATAGATTTCTGCTTTCACTTTTACTACTGTTCCAACTATATGGATGTAGGTAAATCATTGCATTCCCCTGGGTGCATCTACATATGCATATTTACTGCACAGTAAGCAAAAGTACTGCACAGTATGGGCATGTGTCTGCACATGCATGCCTGTACTGCAGAGTAAATATGACACAGTAAATATGGCGGTAAATATGGCATCCTGCAAGTATCAAATTTACGTCCAATTAGGGCTGTGCAAAGCTTTGGGTGGTGATTCGATTCGGAGGAGAT